GTGTGAGAGATGAAATAGAAGTCTAGCTTATCTTTCTTCCAAATGGTTAGATGGTTATCCCAATGATTTATCTACCATTCTAATAGGTCTGAAATATTCTTTATTGTATATTAAATATATATCCATATATATTTGAGTTTGCTTCTGGACTCTATTCTCTTTGATTTTCTATTTCTTTTCCCATACATTTAATTATTGCAACTTGATAAATTTTTGATAGTGAGCAGAGCTAGTTTCCCCTCATCACTATTTCTTTTCATATCCCCCTCCCAGATGTTCTTTCGTCTTTAAGATTTTTAAAAATTGCATTTTAGAATCATTTCCTAAAATTCCCCTTCTCTCTCCAAACCATGTTGTATTTTAGTTCATCGAATTTACAGATTGGCCTAGGGAGAAACAACATTTTGAGAATATCAACTTTCCGTATGTATGTAGTGCAAGTTCTTTTTCTAAACATCGTCTTCTATGAGTCTCCTTAGGGATTTACTTTTCCATTAGATTTGGTTATTGATGACATACAGAAAAGCTTTTGGGTTCTATGTATTCATTTTTTAAGACTGCTGTAACAAAGTACCACAAGATAAGTAGCTGAAAACAACAGAAATGTATCAACTCACAGTTCTGGAGGCTAGAAGTCTCAATCACAGTGTTCGCAGTCATACTCTCTCCAAGGATCTAAAAGGAGAATCTGTCCCATGCCTTTCTCATAGCCTCTGGTGTCACCTTGGTATTCCCTGGCTTGCAGCTGCGTAACTCCAGCCTCATCCTATGTTGTCATATGGCCTTCTTGCTGTGTCTTCACATTGTCTTATTAGGACATCAGTCATATTAAAGGCCTACCCTACTTGAGTGTGACCTCATCATGACTGATAATATCTCCCATATTCTGAGGTACTGGGAGTTAGGATTTCAACGTATCTTTTTCAAGCACAAAATTCAACCCATAATAGTGGTATACATTCATTTTGCAGCTACCCACTTTATTTTTCTCATTGCTACTAATTATTTTACAGATGACTCTATTGTGTTTTCCTGGTACATATCTTATCAACTGCATATCACGAAAATGATGCCTCCTTTCCAATATTTATTTCATCCTTTAATCTAATCTCTTTGTCTAGTACTTTATCATAGTCAACAGGTATTCATCTTTAAAACTTTTGCTTCATTGTTTTTAAAATTTGAATCTGATTACTACTGAAGTGAAACATTAAAAAAAACCTATCCATTTGCATTTCTTCTTTTGTGAACTCTGTTTTTATCCTTTGTCTATGTTTTGTGCTAGGAATTTTTTTCTCATTAATTTGAAAGGTCTTTTGTACATTAAAAATATTAACCTTTTGTGACATATGCCCCCCAAGAATTTGAAAGCACCTTGTCAACTATCCAACAGTCAACAGAAAGCACAAAACAAAATATAAAGTGCAGATCTACTGTAACATAAATTAATTATACCTTTCTATGCAACAGTCTAATACATGAACAAATACTTCTCATATTGTAAGTGCACTAATAGTGGAGAGCAATGTAGAATTTTATGAAGCACTCTTGAAAATTTCAAGTACACTAATACTTATTAACTTGTTTCATGGTGTACCATTTCCAAACCGTTCAAGTTCTTTCCAGCTAAAGCATTCAAAAGAGTCTCAAGGATTAAATTATCTGATTGACCCTTTAATGCCAAATACTTTACAGCTCTTGCTCACATACTATCAAGTTTACTCTGACATTTAAAGGCCCTAACTCACCACTGAGGAAAGGGTTAATCTGTCTTTGGTTTATCTAAATCACCAAATAATAAGATTTAAGTGATAACCAGCTGTATGATATGTCCTTATTAAATTTGATAGGATTTTTAAAAAGCCAAGTAATGTAATGAAGTTTGCAAAGTAATTTAGATTAACCAGGTTTGACTGCTCAATTTGGAAGTGATTCAGTGCACAGGTACAGGCATAGAGAAAATTTTAAAATATTAGGCCTTGATTGTTTCTCACCAGAAATTGGAGAAAAGTTAAATGAACGTTACAATATATCATTTTAACCACCTTTCATTACTCATAAACATGTCCTCATTTTAGTTTTTTTTTCCTCCCTACAAGTTTCATTCCTTCCCAAGGAACTGTTTGCATGATTTATTCACATGGTACAAAATAGGATAATGGAAGGACAACCTAGTTCTTGAGATGGTAATACCTACCCAAAATGTAAATGTCTCAAAAGCTCCTGTCCAGGGCTTTGAAGGGGTACTTGATTTAGTAGGATTGATTGATTCACCATTAGCTAAGAATGTCCAGGTGAAAATGCTGAAACATGGGAATACTCTCAATGGCATGTTAAAACCAGCCTGAATTTGGTCACTTTATGCATCCCATATATCTCTATTTCTTTATCTTATGCACATTCTTACTTACTTAGAAATGATGTGCCCTTTGCTGTTCAGAAAAACACAGAAAAATTAGGTTTATTACTTGATTCTGCCACCTGTCTTCGTTTTGTCTATTTACTCTATGGATGCCACTGCATTGGTCTGTGCAAGGACTAAGGGCACCTAACAAATGTTAAATGATTACACATTACCATGACACTTCATGCCTGCAATGTGTGTAAATTTGCACACATTCACTGAGACAACTGCTCTGAGACTTAGGAAGTTGATGGATACATATCAAAGAAGTTTATATATGTATTAAAGATATATATACATATTTGTCTAAGTGAATTATATATACATGAATATTTTTGTAAGTATTATTTTATATTATTATTTTAGGGTAGTGTTTTTTATAATCCAATAGCAGGTGGTCATGATCAGTATTAAAAAGATGAAACAATACAAAAAATCTGAGGAATTGTACATATTAAGGATACTTACTATTTTATATAATATAGACCCATATACATACATACTGGATCACAATGGAAAATGTGTTTCTTACTGTGCTTTGGGATCAAAACAGCTTGAAAAGCACTGTATTCAGTGTGTTTCGTGATGAGATGGAATCCTTCATAGCATTCTTTCTCTCACTTCAGAGATTAGACATGTTTTGCTTTTCACTTTACAAATGTTTATTGAGCAACTGCTATATGTTGGTTGAGGGTCAGGTGCTGGTGCAGGGAGAAAAAGAGCAATCTTACTTTAGGGAATTTCTACTTATTGTTACACAGATGTAAGGTTTTAAACAAAAGCTTAAAAACAAATTAATGCTAAATCAATTATAACTGTTCTTAATGTGCCTCTTGGCCACAAAAACGTATGTGGAATGGGTCAAAAGTTCTCAGGAATGAGACTTCACAGAATACTAAGCTTCTTGCTGCTTCTCATCAATACCTGGAGAAAGTCAGTATAAAATCTATAGCAGCTGAGATAAGAGTCTCATATATGACAAGATATATTTCTTTTCATCTACCTTGTTGTTGATTTCTTCTTTCTTAGACTTTTTGACAAGAAAATAATTTTTTGAGGTACCAACATTTGGGTTGTGGCCACAAAAGTTACCCTTCAGGACTACTTTTCTCAGGAAGGAGATATGTTCTTGTCAAGCTTTAGTTGATAAGGAAACCATTTGTTATGAAACTATGTTATATTTATGTATTTGACAGAAGGCTGAAATGAGAGGTTTTACATTAAAATACTAAATACTTTATTTAAAACCTTAATATGCAAAAAACTCCCCCCCAAACAAAACCAAAAACCCAAAACAAAACCAAAAACCCAATACTGAAAAAAACTCATCTGTTCTGGTGCTTAATATCAGCCACAAAATAATCTAAAGAGTTTCAATTCTCCTGGTGCTCAAGTCTCTAATACTGAACCTTAGTATAAAATTTTACATTGTAATTATAGTTTTTATTTCTTCACTCTTCCCCTCTCCCACCTCAAATACTTTAAAAAATGGCATGTAATGTTTAAAAATGATGACATTTCAATTTAGAAATGCTTTAGATATATGTTATTCTCTGATGAAGTAATTTTCTGAATATGTAAAAGTTTTATTTTATAAATGATATATTCTGCTCTTCAAAATAGAGTAGCCTTTAGAAATAACATTGGGAAAGAACATATTATTTTTTTCTACTCTGGTCTTTTTGACAGATTCAGTAAATCTTACAGTTTCTAGTATCATTTGCAACTTCCAAAATCAGACCAACCATACCATAGGTATGTATTTTATAGCAGCAAAAATTCAAGTTTTCTTATTTTTTTCAATTACGAGCTTTAAAGTTTAAATGTTACTATTCTGGTTCATTAGATCATGGTTCATACACACTTTCTAGAAATGTGAGAAAACAAAATATGAGTCACCACATAGTTTTGGAAAATAAACTCAAATGATTAGGTAATGGGTTTACAATTGTACTGGAAAAAGCTTTGTGATGAAACAGCCTTTTCTAGTCAATCAAGATAATCCACGTTTGGCTATGGCTGAAGGTGGCTTGTATCTTCCCAACTCTGTTCAGTGATGTCACTTTAGTAGCTTGAAATCAGTCACAGCGGGAGTTTTTAAGACTACAGAAATCAGCAAAAGCTACAAATCAGAGGTTCTCTTCCCATTCTGAAAAGCCGTTAAACATTTCCCAGCACATCTCAGGCAATTGCCATTATTCCTTTAAAATCCAATTCAATTCTTTACTATTCATAAGAATCTTATTCTTGACCATCTAAATGGTTGGTTGGTGTTTTCTGTATAAATCTGTCTTTCTGGAAAAAGATTTAAATGTTTCACATTAGTTCACAGTAATGGAAATCTTAGACTTTCACTGTGAACAAATACATAAGGCTGTGCCCACGGAGAGGGTCTTACCTTCTTATCTAGGCATTGCACCCTTTTCAGAAAAAAACTGCTCAAAATTTGGATTTTTACCTTAAAGAAAAGTATCCTGTTTTTAACTTAATCCATACTTAAGCAGCAAAATACCCAGACTTTAAATAGAACCTAAGAGACTTTAATTCTGTCAAAACAGCTACAATTCAATGATAGAAGGTTAATTAAAATACTTTGTAAAGTATGAAAGAAGCAATTTTATTAGATGAACTCATTTATTTGACACATTAAATTAGGCAAAGAAAAATATATGCACTGCATAAGAAGAATCACATTCTCATACTACCTGAACACACAGCAGTGGTCAAAAATAATGAATTGTGGAATGGATCCCAGGATTTAATGCAAAAACACCCTGTACAGAAAAACTTCAGGCTTCTAACTTCACTGAATCCAGTACTACACGTGCCTCCTTATATTCCACAGCTTCTTCCAAGTCTTTTTCACTCTCCTGAAATGAAATATAATAAAAATTAGGTTTATCCTTCTTGAACTTCAGTACTTTGTTATTTATTACTCAGATATTACAAACTATCAATGTAAGCAGCTCAAAAGTTAAAATAAAAAGGATCTGAACTCTCATCTAAATATACTATAGTTCTACAAATTTCCAGAGAACAATTGTGCTCTTTCATTACAGATAAGGAAAGAAATAACAGGTTTGGTTTTGTTTCACTGTATATTCTCATACAATAAGTGAAAAAAGCATGGTCATCTAAAACTATTGGCATTAAGTAATTAAACTGAAACCTCAGAAAAATTTTAAGAAATGTATTCTCACTTTGTCACCACATTGCCATAGAAATGAGATTACTAATGCACTAAAAGCAAAAATTTGTTTACATTCAGACTAAAATAATCCTCCAACTACTCACAACAAAGAAGGTGTCACACTAGAGTTAATACAATCTTTGACTCAGAAAAGTGAACCGTCTGCTTGTTAATGAGTATTATGTACCCTACTACAAGGAAACAAACTACTAGTATCTTTCATTTTCTGATATTTAAAGATTGAGTTTTTCCATACTATATACAGAAAACTTTGACTAATCTATTGTAACAGTAATAGATAAATAAAGTAACATCATCTAAGTTAATGTGCGTGGCAAATTGTTTGATTTTTTAATAAACAAATGCAGCTAAGGTCAGCAATTCACGTCAAGTCAATAAAAGATGGAGACACACAAACAGTTATAGAGCAGAGGGAATAAAGTGTGTGTATATCCATCTAATATGAAAATTTAAAGCAAAAATGACTGAGGATTTGCTTAATTCATACTACAGGTAATAATTTCTTAAACCTCCATATTACACCTAAACATGTGTTTGTTCTCTGTCAGGAAATACAAGCTCTTTGAGGGTAGTAGATATACTGCTGAATATATCTCAAACACAAATATATCAATCCAAAGACAGTATTATTTTTTCAAGCAATTTCTGTTACTTTCTCAGCAACTAGATTAATGAGAGAAAAAAGTATTTAAATTGTTAGGAGACACAAATGATGCTTCTGTTTCAGGTAATATTTTAATACAGTAATTATTTCCTGCTTTCGTCTATCTTCTATTTTAAAATCAAAGTTTCATTTTTGGCTTTAGAGAGAGTTACCCTGCCTTTAAAAGGTTCCTATAGATATATATGAGTTCTGTGTCAAAAGTAAAGTAAAATGTGAGTAATTCTCTCCTTCTTTTTTTCTACAGATTTAGTCCTAATATTATTTTGGTGGGAAAACAGATCTCATTCTCTTTCAAGGAATACATATTTATATTCATCCTGAAAAAGCCTCACATTATTTTTGTAATATAAGGAACAATGAATCAGGAGACAGCTATGTAGCTAGAAATAAGTATTAGCTCACAAACTAGAAACATAAAATGAGGTTAGTAAAGGAAATGATAGAATTCATCAAATTATCATCAAGCAGCAGTAACAATTGGCTTGCATACAGTATTAGGCTTTCAACTCTACTAAGAAAGAAATAAGATGACTTTTCATTTTTCTTAGAATCCCTTTAAAAGTGATTCTGCTACTGTATCACAAGACATTTATACCAGCCAAGTATGATAACAGTGTTATCCAGCTCTAGGTTAATATGAGGGGTCTGCCTATATATTGCAGGGTTTCTTTTCCCCCCTCTCTCAAATAGATTAAGGTTTGAATCAGAAAGAATTCCAAAACTTTTTTAAAAGGGCCCAAATTCATTGGAAATATTTGGATCTTTTAAAATTTTAGACAGACTACTCACCTTTAATGTGTCCAAAAAGATCTTCATGTATGAAAACCAAGTAATTCAAGATATTGCTGTACAATATTACTAGGATGTATACCTACCCTAATAACTTAAATACATTTAATTAACTAAGTTTAAATAAAAAGTAAACATGCTAGACACAGTACTTTTACTGGAGGTATAACTTAAAATACCATTTAAACTCCATTAATTATTTAAAAATAAACTGATATACTGAACAAGCAAACAAAATGTCACCAACTAGCTTTCAGTGTTAAATATTTAAAATCTTGGCCTTCCATGTATTAGACTGAAAAAAAAAGTGAAACATAAGATACATAACTATTACTTACTAATAATTGCAGAAGGTCACTGTATGCAGCTTCCAACCTGCGCTGGCAATCTGGGATCATCATGCGGGACTCTTGCAGGATCTCCGCCTATAAGAGAATCTCTGTGAGACATGCAGAGATGGCAGAACCTATGTGTTTAGCTAACACCTCTGAAAATATATAGAGTGATTTAGAGGAATCAGAAAATAAATTATGGTTATGTTAAATGATTCAATATTTTGATTTTAACTGTGCTTATTAGAAGTTAGGAAGAATGACTGTCATACTATGAAATACACAAAGTACAAGTTTTAGACCTAAACCTTTTTGGGAATCACCTTCTCACACTAAGTGAAAATTAACTGGAAAAGCTTTTTATACAGCATTTATTTAAAAAGGCTATTTAAAATAAACTATTTCTCCTGCTGTCACAAAGCACCTTTATCCAAAATGGGATCAGCTGGTTATATAAATATCTCCTGCATCTTTTGAGTAATAAAGAAAAACAGTGTTCAGATAATATCACATGGAGATAATTACTGCATGAAGAAAGTTATTGAGTTATTGATCACATCGTGTGCTCACTGCAGGAGGTTCTCACTGAAAGACAGAGGTAAAGAAAAATGAAAAGCAAAGACCAGCAGGTTCATATTTTTGATGCTTATCATGCATAAAAAGTTATTACTTATCCTTGTGCTTCATTTTAGGAGAGAGATTATTCTCCCCATGCAGTTTGATCCAAATTACCAACCTGGCGCCCCTCTGAATCTGAACTTCTACTTCTGTCTATTCCTTGTGAAGACAGATACTACAGAATTAAACATAGGAATCTTTACTTTAGAGGATATTTCTGAACTTAAAAATCCATCATCTGAAGCTGGACTGTAACATATCAAATCACAGAAAAAGAAAAAAAAAGTCAAATAGATGACTGGGAAACCCAATCAATAAGAGAGTAAATATATGAGTGTCAGATGTTGGACCTCAAATAAGTCTTCTTTCAAAGGTGGTAGAAGAAGCTTTATTTCCTTAAACTAGTCTTAGAAACAGACATGAGATCATTTAAATGTTTATTTACAAAAAATAATGTTAGGTCAATACCTTTAGTTAAATGGGTACAAAATCTGAACTTTAACCAAGAAGCTTTATTACCTAGCTCACCTAAAATAAAATGGGAGGACATAATTTAATGGTAATCATACTATATTTTAACAGAAACTTTAATAAATCTTATTACTTTCTTCCTTTTCTTAATAGTTCTGTCATAGTTCACAATGTAAATAAAAATAAGAATTATAATATACAAGGCTGCTCTCTATCCATATCTCTTTCCTCAGGTGAAAATCTATTGCCGAACTGATAATTCCTTTACTACTAAGGTACAAGTTGGAAATTTCAAACATAGGATCATGACTTTATTTCACAGTTAATCATATTATGCCCTAATATTTAATCACTGCCACTAAATTATTTTTGTGTACCTTGTTAGTTTGAATACATGTGAAAAATGAGTGACTCAGATATTTCATTGGGTAAGTGATTCTTATTTCCTCCCCTATGTACTTCCCTTGAGAATAGCTTAAAGGAATTTAACAAGATAAAATGAATATAAAGAATTGGGTCCAAATGATCAATAGGCACAAGAAAAAATGCTCAATATCACTAATTATCAGAGAAATTCAAATCAAAACTACAATGAGGTATCACCTCACACCAGTCAGAATGGCCATCG